CTGAGGCGGGCGGGGAGGAGCTGGGGGGGAGTGTAGGGGGAGAGTAACCCCCCCGCACGTCTTCAAGCGCCCAAGGTTGAGAAACACTGTTCTAAAAGTTATTGCAAAACTGCTTTAGGAATTGGGGGAAGGCCTGCCTGCCAAGATCTACACTTGCCAAAAGGTGCTTTCCGTCGACCATGCAGGAAGCTGCTAAAGGAGAGAGCGAAGACATTGACGTTTGTACTCAAGATGTGTGTTTCTCGTTCATCTGCCTCGTTTAGCAGTGCCATTATTTCTCCTTTCAACGCTCTTAACATTTCTTGCCGGGGTTTGGGGCCAGAGTCACTTTGTGTGAGGTGGGCGGCTAGATGAATACGACAAATAAATAAGTAAAGCTTATTTCATGAGATTCCTATTCTCAATGTCAGGTTAATCTCTCTCCCGTCTTTACATCTCTCCCATCTTCTCTGCTTAGTAACCTTTCTTATTTCCCCAGGATAGCTACCAGAATAAGGGGGTTCTTTAATTAAGATCTGATTGGCTTTTTTGGCCTGAGGTATAAATAGTTATCGTAACGATGTGCCTGAACCTGTTTTTTCCTTCTATTTATCATCCTTTTTCCCAGTGCGGATGGCGTGTAACGAAGGTTTGTGGGTTTGCATGGCGTGGGTGGAATGCCTTCATGTCGCTTCTCTGTCTTCTCTTTCATTGGTGGCTTCCCAGAACTTTGGGGACTTCGTGGTGGGACTCAGAAGCCATGAAGCACCATTTCTGGCTGGGGGGTTGTTGAGTGATGTCTTGAGCAAAGGCCTTAGTAAGCCTTACCTCTTAATTCCTTTATCATGCTGTAATGCTTGGGAAAAGTAGGAGACACAGTCACTTCGAAATTTGTGTGCAATGAGTAGGTCCGATTAGATGCCCCTGAAATAGGGAATGAGTCATCCGTGTTTCCACAAACTTGCAAAATTCATTCTTCCGTCTTCTCTTGTATAGAGAAGAATGGGAGGGTAGAATGGGCTGCGAGGGTGGTGGTGTTTTCAAGCGTGTGCATTCCTGTCAATCCTCCAGTGTAGTTCAGACCAGGGAACCAAAATCATGAACACTAATGCTACCTTTATTGTAAGGTTACAGTAATAGAATCTCGCAAGTCTGAAGGTGCTTCCCCCTCCCTTGCTTCTACTTTCCGGAGAATAGGGAGAGTCCCTTCTGAGACCCTTTCTCAAGTCTGGTTTGGGCTCAGATTTCATTTATCAGGCTGTTGTCTAGCTGTGGCTCTTCCTCCTGCCTCTCAAGGTTATTCTCACAGCCCATTACGTCTCCTCCCTTAACTGGAAAGGGAATACTCCATTTCTGATGTTCAAGGTTGGGTGCTGGTACTTATTTAGCCACTCAGGGTAATCCCTTTGCAGAAGTAGTTGAAATCTTAACGAAAAAAGCCACCTAAAGTAAGTGAGAACTCCAGTGAGGACGGAGTGTTGCTCACCGACTTCCAAATGTTATCTGAGTTGGGGGGACACATTTGAAACCAGGAAGGAGAAGGAGAAGGAAGAGAAGGAGAAGGAGAAGGAGAAGGAGAAGGAGAAGGAGAAGGAGGTTCATTGCAGTCAATGGCCAGCCCAGAAGGAAAATGAATGAAATAATCCCCAATAGGGACGTTGCACCCCACAATCTCTTGCTGCAGATCGTACCGCATCCCCGGAGAAGTCATTCTGTGTGTTCAACAGTGACAAACTTCTGGCTGCCCCAACGGTGCTTGGAGAGGCGAAATCAGTTCACGCAGCTCCTTGCACGCCTGGCAAGGATCCTGCTGTGATGGAAAAGATCCCCCTTTTTGTAGCCCCCGGGGTGATTCTGGAGGGTGAAAGAGGGGGAAGGGAAGCAGGAGGACACATGTGGGGAAAACTGATCTGTGTGGGTTTGTCTTTGATGCTCTGGCAGGGTGGTCACCATTGTCCTGGTGGCAGTGAGTGTGGTTTGGATCCCCATCCTGCAGAGCTCCAACAGCGGGCAACTCTTCGTCTACATTCAGTCGGTCACCAGCTACCTTGCCCCCCCGGTCACTGCTGTCTTTCTTCTGGCTGTGTTTTGGAAGCGAGCCAACGAGCAGGTGATCTCTGTAGTGTGTGTGTGTGTGTGTGTGTGTGTGTGTGTGTGTTCAACAGTGGCAAACTTCTGGCTGCCCCAACGGTGCTTGGAGAGGCGAAATCAATTCATGCCGCGCTTTATACACCTGGCAAGCGTGCGAAACCATCAGCATCGATTTGGGGAGAGCCTTATGTTGCATTTGACAGTTCGTTAAGGGGGGCCTGCCTGGGGAGGACAGTGACCGCGTTTTGTTAACCTGGATTTAGAGTTAAAGGAGTTGTGTGAACCCCAAGGAATGAATCTTGCAATAACGTTGGTCTGGATGGTCTTGGTCTTCTCGTGCAGGGGGCCTTTTGGGGCCTGATGGTGGGCCTGGCAGCGGGGCTGAGCCGGATGGTCTTGGAGCTTGCATACCCCGTCCCCCGCTGCGGCGCCCTGGACCAACGCCCTTCCTTTGTGAGGGACCTCCATTACCTGCACTTTGCTCTGCTCCTGTGCCTCCTGACTGCTGCGGCGGTGGTGGGCATCAGCTGGCTAACGCTGCCTCCATCGGAGGCCCAGGTGAGTCCAGAAAGGTGGGGGGGCAGAGCCCCCAGAAGGTGTCGGCAGGCAGGCAAGGTGTTGGGGAGCACCGACAGAGGTGCTCCTGGGAGGCTCACGGTGGTCTTAGGGCAAGACCTGCTCCCGTTTCATCCAGGGGGCTCTGAGGGTCAGCCACGACTGATCTTGTGGCAGAGCCCTTTGGGGTGGGGAGGAGAATATGGGGGTGCGTCTGGCCACCCCTGGAGGGGCAGAGGTGATCCTGGGCTCCCCTCCTCCGCCTTGGCGGCTGGATCCATGCGTGATGCGAAGCTGGCTGACTCAAACCAGGGCTGGGTCACGCGGCTCGCTCAGTCAAGAAACCCGCGGGGCCGGGGACGCTCAGCGCCAGGGCAACCGACCCACCGGGCGGGATGGGCGAGCCGGCCAAGCATTCCTGTGCTGGCGTGAGGCGGCGGGGAGTGACGCTGCCCCTCCCAGCAGTTAGTCCTCCCCCCGCCTTGAAAACAGCAGTCCCCAAACAATGCAGGCTTTGGCACTGAGGGGTTTTAGAAGGCGGGGAACCGGAAGCGCGTGACCCGGAGCCCACCCCCAGGCTCTGCCTTCAGAAACAGTCTGGTTTTCTGGAGTAAGTTTGGGGTGTTTTCACTCTGGTTTCCGGGTCGGAAGGGACCCGAGCCGGGCTTCCGTCTCTCGGCTCTGGTGAGGGGAAACACGAGTGACTGGAATTTGCAGTCGGAAGGGTTTTCTGGGCTTGGAACTGACGCCCCAAACTGTCCTCTTCTCTGGCTCCTTGTTGAAAAACTTGCCCTGGGCAAAATCCTCCCTACAGCTCGCCAGCAAAGGAGGGAAGGGAAGGGCAGGGAAGGGAAGGGAAGGGAAGCTGTTTCTGCGTGACCCAGCAAGGCTAGCCTCAGCCCATGTACAGACTGCCCCTCTGTCCTACCATAGTGACGGGAGGGTGTTGTCTCTGGCCTCAGAGGCCTCGTGGGGCAAACCAGGACATGCCTGCAGGGAGGAAGGGCCATTAAGGTGCCACTGGTGTTGGCTGGGTTTCTCTGAACTGGGAGGTGACACCCTGATTCTGGGGAGCAATGCATGTTCCTCCTCCTCCTCCTCCTCCTCCTCCTCCTCCGTTGGCAGAAAGCACCAACCTGTCTCCAGACCACAGTTTCTCCCAGAGGGCAAGTCCTGGCACCTTTCTGTGAGGACAGAGGCTCACGCCTCTTCTGCAGCCCTAAACGGAGCCAGGTTTCACTGCCGTTTCGCCAGACGTGGGCACCTCCCTCCCTGCCCTGGAATGGAGCTGCTGGTCTCCAGGCCAAGGGCAGAAAGATTTAGGGATCTCTCACGAGGCCTGCTCCTCTCTGTGGAGCCGGGGACAGATGTCTGGGGCCCTGCAAAAGTCAGCGGGGCCAGGGCTAATCTGCGGGTGGGGGGGAGTTTCAGGAGTGTGAAAGGGTGCAATGCCTGAGGGCATCTGCAGAGTTGAAGACCCTCTTTGCGCCTCCTTCTAAAGGAATGCTGGCAGGCTGCACGGCGCCCCCAGGCCAGACCTTTCACACCCCTGCCATAGAAGGAGGAACTGTTTTTCTTGGAGATCCGTGCCTTACCAGCTGCCCCAATTCTCTTTTTCTGTTTTTTAAAACAACTGTAGATAAAGGATGTGACTTGGTGGACTTGTCGGTCCCCGGAGGAGCCTTCATCCCTCCATCTGTCTGTGCCCCAATCAGTGCCTGGAACAGAGAAAGACGGTGGGTCTCCTGTGCAGGAGCCAAACTTCTCTCTCCAGGGAACTCCGAGCTAAGAGCTGGTGTCAAACAAGGCAGCTCTTCTCTGAGGATGAGAATGGAAGAGCGGAACAGCAGCAGCCTCTCTGCTGTTCAGCCCCCCCCCCCGGGAGAGAAGGGGACATGATGCTTCAGGGGCCATCCAAACCCGGCCCCGGCCCCAGCCCCCTCCATGCTAGGGCTGAGGAGGGGGAAGAGAGACGCATCGGCTCCTTGCAGCACATGGGCTAGGCATGACAGAGTAATGAAACGGGATTTTTAGCCAATCCTTGGTTTGTAGACATGTGTTTTCCAGTCTCCAGCTAGCAGGAGCAAACATCCCGACTGTTCTCCCTTGCATTACTATTCTAAGGTGGACTGCTGCTGTGCACGGAGGGTTGGGTGGCAATTACATCTGTGGAGAGGGCCATCTCTGTGCACCCTGACTTTCCCTCCCAGCCTTGAACCGCTCCTTCTCTCCCTGCCAGCTCCCCTGGGGATCCTCCAGCAGCGGTCCTTCTGCAGCGAGAGGGAAGCCGAAGGCAGGAGCACCAACCGGGCAGCGTCTGGCTTCTGGTCCCAGGTCTGCTCTGCCAACGCTGTGATCCTCATCTGTGTCAACCTCTTTTTCTACGCTTACTTTGCTTAAAAGAGCTTCTTTCCTGAGTATGTCCAGGGGGCAGGAAGGGGGAATCCAAGGAAGGGAAGTGTTCGCTTTCAAAACAGATTTAAAAGGGGGGTTGTGGGAGCTTTTCAATAGATTGCAGCCACGGGGTCCTTTGCAAAGCAAAGAAACCTTTCAGAAAAGGGTCTTTGGGAGGGATATTGAACACTTCTCTGAAGATGACTTTGGGCCTTTAAATGGAAAGCTTTATTTCATTAAGAAACTCTTTCTAAAAAATAAAATAAACAGCCTGGTGGCACAAAAGGGTTCTGAGTTGTAAGCAGTTCATAAGTCCTGGTCGCCACTTAGTCTGCTGAGAAGCTCCACAGCTTTTCAAGTTGCATGGCCCAAAAGATGACCTCAGGACCGTTTCGCTCTCCCGAAAGGGTAGCGTGAGATGAAACCCGTTAAGTCAGTTTTTGAAACTTGGTGTTTCTGCCACAGCAGAGAAGAACAGCTTAGGAAGGTGGGACTTGCCATCCCACCTCCTTGGAGGGCACCAGGTTTGGTCTGAGTGCTGCTTAGAGGCCGTATCATGGTCAGTCCTGGGCAAGGGAGACCAACGTGGTGGAAAACAGCTTCCAGCCCCACTCAGTCCTGATAAGCTTTGGGAACATCTCTGTCAGGGAGCTGTGCAAATGCCTGATTTTGTGCAGGGCTCATAAAGATTAGGCGAGCAGGAGAAGGTCAAGGAGGGAGCCAGTGGACTTTCTGACCTGTGGTGGATAATGATCAGCTCCTCTGTTTCTCGTGTTTGGCCACTGACCAAGATAGCAAGGACTGCAGAGCAGAGATAGGGCTGGCCTGGACTGCCCAATGCTGATTAAGCATTTAAAAAGAGAAACGAAATTTAGAAATGGGAGGGAATTTCCCCACCTCATTTCTGAGTCCATAGCTCCACTGGTGGGATCCACTCTCATATCAATTGGATAATTTTTGATGATCTCCTCACTGCCTGAGATCCATGTTCAGCAGGACATCCAGAACATGTCTGAGGATTTGCAGAACATGTTCATCTTCTCCTGCGGCAGCCAAAGAGGCGCTCTAACACTAAAGCAACAGGGGGAAAACACTCCAGAGGGTGTATCTAGGAGAGAAGCCCCCATGGTGGGTTTGCAGTTGATGCCATCTGGCCCAGGGTTGCTGGGAATGGTAGTTATTCTCTATAAATGTGGGGTGGTAGGAGTTTATGACTGATTGCCTCAACAGTGTCACACCAGGGGATCGGATTTCTCTTATTCCAGCTGTGCTGCAGATCACTCCCATGCATAGACATTACAAAAGGCTTTCAGCTTTTTGAAAGCATGAGATGCCTGTAAGGTAAACATGGACCATAAGGCAGTTTTTAACAAGGACTGACTTAAGACATCAGTTTGATTGAAGCTGGATTGCAGTTTCACTTCTACAAATCTGTTGTTTTAAAAAGTAAAATAAATAAAAATCCCCAGGTGCATATTTGGGCTCAAGGTGAGTGACGCGGGTCAGGTTGCAAACTATTTCCACCTTGAAACGAGTCCCAGTGTTTCAACCTCAGAATGGCCATCTCGATTTGCAACAGGCCTCTTTTAAGGTTGGGATGTGGAAATGAATGGTTTTGCGTGGCTCTGGTGGGAGATGAGGGACGGGTCAGAGCATCATCTGTCTTTGCTTCATGCAAAAGAAGAAAAGGTCCAGATGGGATGGCTGATCACTTCAGCCAGATGATCCTCTAATTGGAAGATGAGCCAGGCAGGTCACATGCGCAGGGGGAAAACATAGTTCCGAGGAAAAAGGCCCATTTTCACCCCTAGCTTCCCTCTCCACCAGTGGGGGTCAGAGCAGTCCAGAATCTTGAGGATGTCTCCTCTGCAGAAGCTCAGCTGGGATGGGTTTTCAGCCAAGAAATCGAACTGGGCTTGGACAAAGGTTGGCTTCTTGGGCTGTGTGGAAAAGAGCAAGACATGAGGTGAAAAGAAATGTTGGGTTCTTGTTCGCAAACCTCTCCCCCCTCTTGCCCCAGCTCTGGGGTTGATGTGATGTGGGAGATCAGATGGCGGTTCTTTCTCATAAATGAGAGGTTGGGGATAATTCAATGATGTGGAAGAGCAGAAGATTCGGAACTCCTTTGTCCACATCATCTAAATTTGATTGATAGGACCCACTGAGGCAAGATGTCCCCTGAGGTCAGTCCTGGCCAGGGGGACGGTGAGAGCCCAGGGAAGCAAAAGATGCTTTAGAAGAGGAGACCTTCTAAATTAAGGGATGCAGTTACGAGAGAAAGCTGGGTTGTTCCTTACCTCCTCGGCTTCTCCATGATCTCTCAGGAAGACCTGCCTTTTCTTAGCGATGGTGGTGGTTCGGTAGAAGTCCACCAGTTCATTAATGGAGTTAAACTTTTCCTCCCAGAGATGGTACTTCCCCTTCTTCTCCCGGAGCACTTTGAAGTGCAGCACTTGATCTCCGTAGCTATGAGAGAAGCCAGATGGTGAAGTTAGGGGAGGGGAGGACAGGAGGATGGTGGGCTTTGGCGATGATGGATTGGGCTTCCCCTGTGGAGCAGGAGTGGACTCGATGGCCTCAAAGACCCTCCGTGTTGATGGTTCTGTGAATTTATCACACGGGCCAGAGTCCATCACAGAGGAGAAGAAGGAGAACATTATTTATCGTGTGCCTACCACCACATGCAGTGCAGTGGAAAAAAAACAAAGCCTTCCATTTCTTGCTAAGTAGCTTGGATTCCTGCATCTATTTTGTATCTGTTTTTATCATTTATTTAAAGTCTTTCACAGAAAGGATGTAACCTGGCATGAATGAGCACTTCTGCATCGAAGTAGGAATCTTGCTCAGCTCTCCGATCTGAGGTTGTTGGGCCTCTGTCTTGAGGACTTGAAGCTTGCTTTAAACAAAGAAAAGAAAGGAATACAGACAATTTGCCTACAGGCTGACTTCTGTACCTGCTGCTAAACCCCACACCTTGACTCACAAAAAGTGCACAATCTGTTGGCAAGAACTCGCCTGCCAGCCTTTGCCAATGGCCAACAGGAGATGTGAGGTGGACAAGCAGATGGAAAGGATAACGCTGGTTATTGTGTGTCTGATGCAACTATGAATGCCTTATTTCCAGACAGATAATTGCTGCTTTTGGCTTTCTTGGGGCAAAATAACAGTTCACTGTCACAAAACTCTGGTGCCACAGGGAAGAAGGAAAGTACAATAATCCTTGTTTAGTGACTGCCTCGCACAGCGACCTTTGGCAGTGACAACAGGGATGACAAAGTCACTTTGCAACCAATCCTCGCATGTACGACCTTCACAGGTCTGTCAAGCAAAGGAAAGCTGAAGGAGGATTGTAAGCACTGTCGCAGTTTCACTTAGCAACCGCTTTGCTTAACAGCCCAGTTGCCAGTCCCAATTGTGGTCACTGAATGAGGACAACCTGTAAGTTTTTGTTCAGATCCATGAGAGAGGATTAAATGGTTTGGAGATGGGTGTTAGTCTCACACCCTTAGACGTGTTAATCTAAGGGTTGTCTCACATCGGTGACACTAAGCTGGAGTGGCAGGTGCCAAAAAGGGAGTGCGAATTGTAACTAATGATTCATAGGCCTTTAAATGTTCACCAATAAAGAGTATTTTAGCCCTTCACACCCATCCACTTGAAGACAAGGTTTAAAGGGTGAACCGGCTCTCTGCTTCCTTTGTATCCGGAGCCTAATTTGAGAGAGAGAAAAAGCCCCTTTTGGGGGGCATCATTGTTTTGGTTTTAATTTTCCTCCCCCTTTCTATGCAATCAGAGCTCCCAAGGTGGCTAACCATGAATAGAAATCAGGGTGGGAAAAATAAACCTTCAACAGCCAGAAGTGAAAACCAATGCCAGCATTAATTTCCAGCTCCAAGGTTGGCCAAAGAGATGCCAACGGGGGGCGGGGGGAGAAGATTTGAATCCCAGAGACTGCCTTGCGCAGGTGGAGAAGCCCCAGTCTGGTGTGCCAGGCCAAAAAGCCTCTGATGGTTGAGATGGTGGAGAAGTGGTGCCTTTGATAATGATCTCCTAAGCTGCTTGTTGTGTTTTCCAAACTTGGCCACTTTAAGATGGGTGGACTTCAACTCCCAGAATCCCCCAGCCAGCTGGGTTGAAGTCCACCCATCTTAAAGTAGCCAAGTTTGGAAAACACTGGGTTAAACTGTCAGAGACCAGAAACGTTCTGCAATTCTATCATTCTGTTTCTAAATGCTCAGAGAGGTCCCAAATCCATCCTCCACCTCCAAAAGAAACGTTGTGGGTCACGTAGCTGCCTGGCTGGGTTGTCCTCAAAATGGCACTGCTTGCTGTTTTTTTCTTTAAAGCCCCCTTCCCCCAAATTCTAGCATTTGGGTTAAATCATAATTACACCCTCTTTTCTTATTTGCCGCCTAAGTCCTTGGCTGTGAAAGTCAGCAGAAACAGGGGAGGTTTAAAGCTGGTACAAACATGAAAAGACAATGGGAAGCAGCTTTGCTTTCATGGCTCCCGTGTCAAGTGGTGACTTGCATCTGCAACGCTGCCGTTGCAGATCAAACATCCCAGAGAGTTTTAGTGACACTTTGCTTTAGACGATGCGCCAGGAAGCACACTTCTTGGATCTGGAGGTCAGTTCCTGAAGTGCACACAATCCTGGGATGAGAACGAAAGAAAATCTGGGGACGAGGCAGCCAGGAGTCAGTCATCGTTGACACAATGGCTGAATGGTTGTGCCACGCTAGGCAGGGGAGAAGCGATTCGCAAGGCTGTTGGGCTTCATTTGAGGCTGACCCCACCGTATGGGAAGAAAACAGACGGATTGGTCAAGATGGGTGCGTGTCAACAACAATGGAACAATGGAAGGACTGATAATGAAGCCCAAGCTCAGATACTTTGGCCACCTAATGCGAAGAGAGGACTCTTTGGAGAAG